CGCATCTTCGTGGAGGACCGCCACCGCGTGCTGTACTGCGAGGTCCCCAAAGCGGGCTGCTCCAACTGGAAGCGCGTGCTCATGGTGCTGGCCGGGCTGGCCGCGTCCACCGCCGACCTCCAGCACAACACGGTGCACTACGGCGGCGCCCTCAAGCGGCTGGACGCCTTCGACCGCCAGGGCATCCTGCACCGCCTCAGCACCTACACCAAGATGCTCTTCGTCCGCGAGCCCTTCGAGAGGCTGGTCTCCGCCTTCCGCGACAAGTTCGAGCACCCCAACAGCTACTATCACCCCGTCTTCGGCAAGGCCATCCTGGCCCGGTACCGGGCCAACGCCTCTGGGGAAGCCCTGCGGACGGGCTCTGGCGTGCGCTTCCCCGAGTTCGTCCAGTACCTGCTGGACGTGCACCGGCCGGTGGGCATGGACATCCACTGGGACCACGTCAGCCGGCTCTGCAGCCCCTGCCTCATCGACTATGACTTTGTGGGCAAGTTTGAGAGCATGGAGGACGATGCCAACTTCTTCCTGAGCCTCATCCACGCCCCGCGCAACCTGACCTTCCCCCAGTTCAAGGACCGGCACTCGCAGGAGGCACGGACTACCGCGGGCATCACCCACCAGTACTTCGCGCAGCTCTCCGCCCCGCAGCGGCAGCGCGCCTACGACTTCTACTACATGGACTACCTGATGTTCAACTACTCCAAACCCTTCGCTGACCTGTACTGAGAGCCTGGCGGCTGCCCGTGGGCACCCTGCCCACCACTCACCTGTCCGAGGGGCAGGTTTCCTTAGCCAGGAGCCGAGATGTACCCAGAACAACTGGGCTCCGAGGACGTGAGGAGCTGTGGCTGCTGCAGGCCCTGGTGGGGACAGAGGCCCAGGCCTTGGGTGGGGACCCTGGCCCAAGCCTCATAGCCACTTCCTTCTTGGCTGAGGAAGGTATGGAGGGGTGTGAGCTGGACACCCAGGAGTCCCAGCTGCTCACACCCAGCTCAGCCAGGAGTCAGGATGACCAGGGAAGCCCGAGGCCCGAGGATGAGGGCCGGGTGGTAAGGGATCTCCTGCAGTCCCTTCGCCATTGCCTTGTACCAAACCACATGGTTTGCAGCTTTTCTATGACCCAGGAGGAGGTTCCAAATAAAGCACATGGTTTCCAGAACAGCAGCGTCTACACTCTGTGTTGGCGTGGGAGCACCAGCCCTTTCCCGGGGCTATCGGGGGCTCTTTCTCCCTCCCCAGAGCAGCCAGAGCCAGGCGCCCACAGGCCCGGTTGCACGGAAGTCCAGGCCAGGAGTGGCCAGTGTGTGTGACAGAAGCAGCTCGCAGTAGCTTCCGTGCCGGGCCAGCTCCTCACACTCAGGCCTCTGAGGCCAGCACTTGGTTATCTGGGTCCTCCTGTCTCGGTACCAACACCCTGGTCTGCAAAACGATAAACCTGTCCCCACGGAGGCCCACTGGGTCTCTTCTTGTCGGTGCTCTTTGTGGGGGTGCTGTGAGGACTGCCAGGGCAGTGACAAGCTCTTTGGGCAAGCTGCCATGTGGGGCTGCCACTGGGCTTGTTGCAGTGCCCGTGGGTTCCAGTGGGTGTGGCATGGCCGGGCAGGGAGTAATGCCATCCCTGGCTGTCCAAACCTCTGGGCTAAGAGCTTTGGACCAAAGCTGCCATCTTCAGACCTTGACCCCGGCCTTGATCCCTGGCTCCATTCACCTGACAAGACCACCTCAAAGTTGTCAGGACTGTCTCCCCCTGGTGAACCAGGTCTGGGAAGGGGGAGGAGAGACTATAGAGAAAACATATCCAAAAGCATACATTATCACACAGGAATGGCTCTGAACTTGTCAAAAGCCAGGGAGATTCCTGGAAGGTGTTGGAGAGAGTGTTTGTTGGAGCTTTGAGTGTGGGTGTGACTGTGGCTGCTTTGGGTCTTGTTTGCACTGGGAAGTGCTGCCTGACTGTTTCTAGGCATCTGTGGGTCTGTCTGTCTACCTACCTTTGGGTCTCATTTCTCTGTCTCTCAGGAGTATGCTGCTCGCCCTTCTTGGCCCCCTGTGGTCTCTGTGGATCTCTCCTAGGAGATTGCTCTCAATCTGTTCCCACTGGCGAGGGGAGGTGCTGCTGGACCCTAAGAAGGAGACCCTGAGGTCCCCACGGTGGGACACGCTGCTGGATCCCACCCTGCACTGCAAGGCTCACACTGGAGTGAGCTGCCCCATCTCCCTCTCTGCCTCCGACATGGGCTCTGGAAACTTACAAAGGCAGAACAAGGAGATGAGGCTGCCACCGGCCTGTTCAGGCCACATGTGTCCAAGAACCCTGAGCAGGCTGAGGCTTCCCCTCAGGTTGCAGCTGGAGTGGCCTGGGCCATCTGACAGAAGGAACCCAGAGCGCCAGGGAGGAAGCTGTGGCCAGGGCCTGAGGGTGTGGGAGGCAGGAAGGTAGATGCTGAGAGCCAAAGAGGCTGACCCCCAGCACCTTGGCCAGGGCCAGAGCAGTGTAAGAGGAGGCGGGAGGCTAACAATGGCCCAGAAGCAGCTGTCCCCAGGCTGTGTGCCCACAAAGCCAGACAGAATTCACGATGCAGAAACAGTGTCTCTGGTCATGGACGCATTGGCTAAGCCTGAGGCAGTGTCACTGGCCATCAGCTCAGCTTAGAGACAACCAGGATTGCCCTGAGACCATCCTCCACAGTGTGTGCATGTGCGAGTGTGTGTGTGTGTGTTGGGGGGGGGAGGGGGGTAGGAAAAGACATCTTCACTTGTATCATCTCTCAGAGACAACCAGACCTGAGGTGGGCAGATATACACACACAGCACATCCATCAAAGATATCACACAACCTGGGTGATAACAGGTGACACAGTCCTGGCTCCCAGCATGACCGCCAGGCCCAGTCCTGAGACCTCACCCTGAATCCACTGAGGTGGTTTTGGACCCAACTCCAGCCGCTAGCCCCAGCCTCAAGCCTCGTACAGCCCTAGGGGTTGGGGGCAGTGGAGCTAACTGCCAATGCAGGTCCACTGAGGTGGTTTTGGACCCAACTCCAGCCCCTAACCCCAGCCTCAAGCCTCGTATAGCCCTAGGGCTTGGGGACAGTGGAGCTAACTGCCAATACAGGAAAGTGTGTGTGTGTGTGTGGTGTGTGTGTGTGTTTGTGTGTGTGTGTTGTGGGTGTCTGGGCTGAGAGAGTGGATGGGTGAGTATATGAGTCTATATATATATGTCTGTGTCTGTGAGTGTGTCTGTGTCTCCATGTATGTGTCTCTGTTTGTGCATCTGTATGTTTGTGTGGGTGTGTCTGTGAGGGTATGTGTGTCTGTGTGTGTGTCTGTGTAAGTGTCTGGGTGTGGGATTGAGCATGCAAGTCTCTATGTGTATATATGTGTGTAGGGGGGTTAGGGTTAGGTGTGGTAAGTGTCTGTCTATGGGTATCTGTCTGGGGCGAGGGAGTGTGTATGTGTGTGAGCCTGTATAATATGTCAGTTGGGGGGGCAAGGCACAGCCTCTATGATGAGAGCAGCCAGGGTCCCGAGAGGCAGGTGTGTGTGTGCGAGTGTGTGTGTGTGTGTTGGGGGGGGGAGGGGGGTAGGAAAAGACATCTTCACTTGTATCATCTCTCAGAGACAACCAGACCTGAGGTGGGCAGATATACACACACAGTGTGTGTGTGTGTGTGTGTGTGTTGGGGGGTAGGAAAAGACATCTTCACTTGTGTTATCTCTCAGACCTGAGTTGGGCAGATATACACACACAACACATCCATCAAAGATATCACACAACCTGGGTGATAACAGGTGGCACAGTCCTGGCTCCCACAGTGCCCTGCACTGCCTGCTTCAGAGCCTTGGCCACCCCAATCACACTGTTCTCATCATCCT